AAACCCTAAACCCTAAGCCCAACAAGTGTACGTAGTCCAGAAGCGGAGTTTCAGGAAGGGTAAGTTGAAGAGACGCTCGTATGCGGAACTTATTACGAACGCTGTTGGCTGAAGGGTTTAGGGTTTAAGGTTTAAATGGCCAAATACCCGGTGTCTGCTAGGATGGAAACCCTCATCTACACTCCAAACAAATTCCCTGCATGGATTCACATTGTGCTCCCGCCAGGCTAGCTTGGAAAACCTTCCCGTTGCCATTCAGAAAGAAGAAGGGAGACAACACCATACTAATTCTGCATAAAAGGCATCTGCAATTACATCTTCAAAGCCAAGTGAGAATGAGATCGAGAATAGAATGCTAGCCGGGAAAGTAAGAAGGTGGCACTCTTTGCAGAATGCCCTGCCAAGCGCACTCAGGAAGGAGGACATCCGCCCACGCCTACCATACAACTTTCTGGAGCTACGAGTCGTGGCATCCAATGTGTCCCCTCTTGAAAGCACATCATCACATGGAAGTGGTTTATAAGGGCCTAGGGCTTGGGCTTTTTGCCCTCGATGTAATCCTAAATCAACAGCCCTAAACCCTGAACTCTAAACTTCAGACAAGAACACCTAATAAAACTTCCAACCCTGAACCCAAACCCTAAGTCCAAAACCCTAAACCCTGAAGCCTAAACCTCCAGGCGTTGCGCCTGGGATCAGACTCGGCACTACAGAACTTCGTCTCCATGTCGCGCAAGAACTCCTTGGCCTGTTGGTTAAAACCCTGGGAGGAGCTAGCAGGTGGATTCACAGACACTAAACCCTAAAACCTAGGCTACAAGGAGGGGCCCCCTAGTTATAAGTTGGGTTATAACTTGGGTTAAATATGGTTATAAATTCCATAAATTGTAGTTATAGGACTTATAATTATAGTTATGTAACTAGGGGGCCCCTCCTTGTAGAAATTGGGGTTCTACTTTCTAGATCCTCCCAGGGGTCTGGGTCAGGGTTTCTGAATGTAGAGGGGTGCTTGAAAGCCCATGGACTTTTTGCGGGGTCTTTAGGTAAAGAATAGGGTTTAGAGTCTAGGGTGTCCTATCCTTGGATGGAGGAAATCTTGCACCACCTACCGTACCTCTTTCCTTAGACACCACAGCACTTTCGGGGCCCCTACTATCCCAGAGTCCCTTGTTTACCTCATGGATAACACCCGTGTTATGTAACATGACTTCGTCACCGTATGCTGCCCATCATTTAAAGGGACCCTAATGGGAACCCCAAACAGGGAACCCCAAGAATATAGTAGGAATTTAATAGAATATAAGGACCCTGG